GAAGTCTGGGCCGGGAGTGTCATAAATACATTTAATCTAATGCAGTATAATTAAAAATGAATGTAAGCTGGTTAGTGTATAAAATCTGTGGAGTGACTTCAGATTTGCTCTAAAGTATACAAATTGCTGGTTTCCTGACCAACAGTGCTGTCATCTGAGAAATTAGGCGACCACATTAAATATTTAGGTGTTCATTAAAAAACCCTCATATATCGATGTCTAATATATTTCTTTAATCCATTGCAATATTTTCAACAGAGAGGAATAAAATATGTGAGGAGAAAGCTTTCATGATCTGCTGTGGTAGCATCCCTTAATTACTCATGCCTTTCACCTGCTTCACTCTTTCCAGCTCCTAATTATCATTAATCTCATCCACCTAAGTTTCCCTTATAGTGAGCTCAGGTGCAGCTATCTAACTAGATCGTTAGATGTTGACTTCTGTTTAGTTCTGGTTATTCCAAGGTTCATGTCCTGGATCCTGTCGGCCAATGGAAAGAGGGTTTTGAGTCTGTCTCATCTCCTGCTCGTCCACTGTTCCTCCCCCTGCTGAGTCCTTTGTGTTTTTGGCTCTTTACGTGGGGAGGATCAGTTTTTATTCCAGTAAGCCTGGCTCCAAGAAGGAGACCAGTTTAAAGGTCCTGCATCAAGTACTAATTCCACGTCCTGTCTCTGCTACCCTCTTCCACTAAGCCTGCTCTTCTGCACCTGATTTTGTCTGCTTCTGTGCATCTCTGCCTGGTCAGGTTTTCGGACTCTTTTGGACTCTGAACCTGCCTGGGAGCTCTAGGATGCCTGGAAGCCTCCATCCTGCCTGTTCTGTCTCTTCCTGCCTGTTCTGCATCCCTGTCCAGGATCGGCTTCCTGCAGTCCTCCAGGTCTGCTGCTCCGTGGACACTCTGGGTGACGCGTGCCGCATCAGTCTTCAGTCCAGCGGCTGGATTGTGCCCAATTTCAGGGAGACGGACTGGATTGTTGAACCAGGTAAGTGACTCACTTAGATCATTATCTTCTGTCAGATGATCGTGGTCACTTACCTATGTTTCTCCCACAGAGTGTTTGAGGTTGGGCGGTGCCCCGCCCCCCTCCTGCAGCATCTGCGAGCCGCAGATCCTAGCAGCTCCACTTTAGTTTTGTTTGCTTTTATTTTAATAAACGTTTTGAACTTTCCTACTGACTGTCTCACCTTGAATACTGGGTCCATCTGTGCAGTTTGAAAAAAACCTAAAGATATCTTTTTAAATTGAATATGGCAGGGATGGATAATGCTTGTCTTCAAGGGCCTACAGATTTTTATGCATCACATTTCTAACACACCAGAAACAAAAGGCTACATTATCACCTTGGCATGTCAGGAAGTTTAACAGAGACCTGCCATTAACAATTTAGTTGTTTCAAGGCTAGGTGGAGCTTTTGAAAGAGACCTACTTATACTACCATGTTATTGTAATGTAAAATATGTTAAACTGTCTGCTGAAACCTTTAACACTTAGCATACACCCTATAGTGCTACAGGGAACATACTTTTTTATGGCGTAAATACTCAGTTATGGACAGAAAATACAGAAAGAAAATGCACAGCCGCACTCGAGGACGGCTGCGCTTTTGAAAGCTATCAGGGCTGAGATGCTTTCGATTTAACCAGATTAACCAATATACAACTAAGGTATGCATGTGCTTACAAAGATTATTTGTCATTTAAATGTCATTATATAAGCTTTCCAATACAAACACAATAATGCATGTTCAGTGGGAACTGTGGTTTTAATGAAATAGAAGAGGCGAATTTCAGTTAAACACTTTTAATCATTGCAAATTTGTACATAACAATGAAATGCATCTTCTGCATTTAGCCCATCCATTTAGGAATAGTAGGCTACCAATATGCAACACCCAGGGATCAGTCTGGGACTAAGGGTCTTGCTGAGGGACCCAAAGTAGTAATTGGTGGGATATACTGTAAACTGGAAAACTTGCAGCTTCCATTTGAGAACTGTAGGTCCAGCATCAGAAGAAGGTATACACCAGTACTCTAAGTGATATATTCTTATGAAATGTAAATTTTTTTAATTAATTTTTAGTAAGGAATATCTTAGATATTTTTTATTATTATTTAAGTAGTCATCAGTCAGCACAGCGCAGCTGTACTTGGCAAGTGGCAGGTGTGAATGTAAAACTAAGTGTGACAAAGGACATTTTTGGAAAATGGCATGCATATTCAGTTGTAACCCTTAAATAAAAGTGACCACCAAAAACCTTCAGTAGGTGGCAGATGATGCCTTTCCCTGTTCTGTTATATAATTTACAACGTGTGTATACTTTAACTTATTGATGTTTTTTGTTGTGCTTTAGATCTATGTGTCCTCCCCCTTATGATATGCATATGTATTATATTAAAGTGTTAATGGAGTTCATATTTGTGTACAACACAAACAGTCAGACAAAACCTTCAGACAGCCTTTTAAAGATGACCCCCAATTTACACTTTGTTAAGCTCCACTTAACCCTGCTCCGCAGCAAACTTCTCCATCCTCCTGTTACCTCATGTCTCTGCTGCTCTGCAAAGGCAACAAGGGCTCCAAGGAGCATAAACAGCATATTAAAGGCCTGTGAGCAACACAGAAGTCGGACCACAACAACTCCTTCCAATAATTTTAAAACAGTTGAAACTTCTTTCCTTTTTTCTGGATATCCAGATTATTTCAAAATTTGAATTTAACTATGAGTATACTCAGAGCAATGACACTTTATTCATTGCATATTTTTTTATTTGATGTCGAAACATTAGATACTGATTCACTACATATTTATGTATAGCTAACAGGACCTACTGTAAGGAGATCAAGAGAAGATCTATTATGGATCTGCAAAAAGATATCAGACAGTGTGTGTTCATCAGAGGTGGGTAGAGAAGCCAAATGTTTTACTCAATTAAGAGTAACTACTCCATATTTTAACCCAAGTAAGAGCAAAAAGTACAGTAGTGTTGTTTTAAAATTTCCCTTTCACAATGAAAGCCACCCGAATGGCCTCCAATTTCCAGCCAAGTTCAGCCCAGCAAAAAAGCAAGCCAGTCAAGGACCCACGGAAACAGGGGAACTATTAAACTGCTCCCAAGGAGTAAACAAGTATTTGCTTAAACTTAAAAGAACTCAGTATTTAAGCATTTTTACAGTGTTCCATCAATTTCTTTCAGATAAGTGGAGCATAGGAACTAAATGCTGCTTCTCCATGTTTGGTTCTACTCCTGGGTGGACAGATTAGGCTTGAACTAGAAGACCTGAGTGGTCTTGGACATTGATATGTAATGAGCTCAGAACTGAGGACTCTATATTCTTGGCGAGACAGACAGTAGGAAGATTCAAAATGTTTATTAAAAACAGAATGCCCAGCTGTGGACCTGCAGTGGCTGCGGGGGGAGGCGTGTGTAAGAATAACATAATTGTTGAGAGTTGAAATATAAACAATTAAACACTGTACTGTAAAGTGTTTTAACAATATTAAACTGTGAACCTGGAGAATAAATAACCAATGTACAGCTATGGACATTTCTGCAGTAATGGATATTTGAAAATAGCGGGAACATGGAAAATGACTGTAAAATGTTATTTAACTGAATAAGGTTTATATCATTACATTTTCTTCTTATTTTTTTTTTTTACATGCTCCTGCTGGTTGTTACCTTTATTCCACTCTTTATTCTCATGAGTGCAGTCTTTGTTCACTTTACAATATATATAAAAAATATATATTATTAAAAAATATAATATAAAAAATATATAATACTAAAAATATATATTACTCAGCCACATTTTATATATATATAAAAATTTTTTTTAAAAAGAAATGGTTTGGAGAGTTTGGTATTCATTCTTTTCCTGCTTTGTGTGTCAACTGTCATGGTTGCTAGGCTACAGAGTGTACTGTGATAAAAGCAGCTGAAAAGTAGATCTGTTTGAATTCACAGCCAAAACTCTTCCGGTCTCCTTAATTTCAAGGACTTTGAAGGATCCAGTCCAGGTAGACCGGGTCCTTGGAAGATGCAGCCCATAAATTCGAACACAGCCTCTGTCATGATCTGCCCTGATAGCTCACCTTAATTGTTCATTTCACTCACCTGCCTATCTCTGCCTGGTTTTCCAATTACCACTAATCTCATCCACCTGCGTCTGTTCCTTTATATTGGGATCAGTTCCAGCTATTGGGGTCAGATCATTGATTGCTCTTTGTTTGTTCCCTGTTAGATGCTTTAGGTTCTGTTTTCCTAAGTTCTAGTTAGTCCATGGTTCATGTCCCTGTTTCAATGAAGAGATTATTCCAGAGCCAGTGTCTCAGTGTCTTCAGGCGAGTTTATCCCAGAACCAGTGGTGAGAACGTTTCAGCGTTTCCCTAGTGATTCTGATCCTGATCCAGTTCCCTCTCATTCTCTGGCCCTGTCTGTCTCTGTCTGACCTTTTCGCCCGAACCACCTTTGGACTCCTGCTGGATTCTGCCAGTCCGTTTCTGGCGCGTTTCTGTCTGAGCTGGTTGCTCGACGCACGGCACTCTGAACCTGCCTTCATGCTCTGAGGATTCCTGGAAGCCCGTATCCCCCTCTTTCCTGTTTGTGTCGGAACCTCTGATCGAGCAGAAAACTACTGGGTCCCTGAACTGTTCCTGCCTGATCTGTTCTCCCCTGACCTGGATCGACTTCCCTAACTAGATTGCTTATCTTTCCAATCAGTCTTTTCTTTATATTATATTCAAACTCTGTTCAGCTGACCTCAACTCTCCTACAAACATCCACATCTTGACTGAATACTGAGGCTGTTTAACCCTTTATAGGGCACCCATTGCAATTAAACTTTTAAGCCAAGATTGTTATTTGAGGACAGGAAAAGACCTTATTACTTTTGTAGCATTAAAAAAATATGTATATTTTGAAGATGGCAAAAATTAAGGGAAATATAATAACTACAAACGCCAACATGCCTGAATATATTAAGCAAAAAACATGGAAAGGATTGTAATACACCTAGTGGTGCAACCTGGACACATCTTCAGTGACTCTCCCGAGATCACTGGGTGTTTCGGGTCTTAGTCATACACCCTCACTCGGGCGACCCAGCCGGGGGTGATCAGTTCCCCGACTTGTGTCCAGGTAGCGCACTACGCCACGCCTCCCCCCTCCTCAACCAGAGCCACCTAGAAGCCTTTTCAGCTGCTTCCAAGATGTTCTTGGTTGCTCTTCGTCTCTGCAGACCGCAAATCCCTAGGAGTCCAAGGACACGGTGTAGAGATCTGCCTGCGAAGCCCCTGCAGCCCACTTCAATAGGCTCACAGCGGGCCTTCCAGCCATTCCTCCGGCACTCAGCCACAAGTTCTGTGTATTTAGCCCTCTTCCTCTCCTGGGCTTCCTCTATTCTGTCCTCCCAAGGAACAGTTAGTTCAAGCAGCACAACCTGCCTGGTGGAAGTTGATGACAGCACCATGTCCGGGCGGAGTGTCGTGGCTGCGATGTAATCCGGGAATCTCAACTGCCTCCCCAGATCGACCAAGAGCTGCCAGTCCCTTGCTGTCATGAGCAGGCCCCTTTGGGTCTTCTTGGAGGGTTGCAGTTTCTCCCCTGCTCGAACAAAGGCAATCATGCTCCTGCTTAGAGGTTGACTCTTGCTGGTGTTTATGCCAGTGCAGATGGTATCTGCTATTGCCCGCAGGACCTGGTCATGGCGCCAGCGGTATCTGCCATCTCCCAGGGCCTTTGGGCAGCAGCTTAGGATGTGCTCAAGAGACCCTTTCCTCTGGCAGAGTTGACACGCAGGTGATTCTATCAGGCCCCAGGTGAACAGGTTAGTGGGGCTCGGGAGGACATCATACACCGCTTGGACGAGGAACCTGAAATGATGTGGCTCCGCCCTCCATACATCAGTCCAGGTGATCTTACGGCTGGAAACATGCTCCCACTTGGTCCAGGCCCCCTGCTTGCTCATGCCCACCACCCTGCTGAAGCGAGCTTCTTCCACCTCTGCCCGAACCTCCTCTTGGATGAGTTTACGCCTGTCCTTCCCTGTCACTCTGTTGTAGCAGGGCTTCGGGTTGCTGCCCAGCCCTGCCCGCCCTGTGGCCACTGTACCCACCATGGTGCTGTGATGCAGCCTCGCCTCGGCTCTTTCCACTGCGTCCTTGGCACGCCACTTTCTTCCAGTGCGGACCTCTATCCCTGCTGAAGACACCTTCCCATCAGTGGAGTCTCTGTAGAGAAGGACTTCTCTAGCCCGGGCAACCTTGAACTCCTCTGACACGCTGCTCAACGGGAGCGTGAGCTTGGTCCCATGTCCAAACAGGGCAATACTGCTCAGACTGCGAGGCAAGCCCAGCCACCTGCGCAGGTACTGACTGATCTTCCTCTCAAAGCCCTCCACGGTCGTAAGTGGGATCTCATACATCAGCAAAGGCCAGAGGAGACGGGGCAGGATGTTGTGCTGATAGATCCAAGCCTTGAACTTCCCAGGAAGTCCAGACTTGTCAACAGCTAGGAGCCACTGGTTAAGGTTGGTGCTGGTTGCTTGCCGTGCAGCGGTGTCCTTCAGATCACCATTGAAGAGCTTTCCAAGGCTCTTCACTGGTTTTTCAGACACAGATGGAATAGTGGTATTTCCCAGGCTGAAGCGGAAGCGGTCCGTTACCTTCCCTTTCCGCAAGACCAGGGATCTGGACTTCCCAGGCTTGAAACTCATCCTTGCCCAAGAGATGAGTCTATCCAGGCCTTGCAGCAACCATCTGCACCCAGGCACTGATGTAGTAGTTACCGTGAGGTCATCCATAAATGCTCGGATTGGTGGCTGCCGGGTACCAGATTTGGATAATGGGCCTCGGCACTCTACTTCTGCTGACTTAACCAACATATTCATGGCGAGGGCAAACAGGGAGACAGAGATCGTGCAGCCAGTGATTATTCCTTTTTCCAGACGGTGCCAATCCGATGTTGATGCCCCTGAGGACACCCTGAGACTAAAATCTTCATAATAGTCCAGGATGAGGTGCCGCACCTTCTCTGGGACATGATATCTGCTCAGGGATAATTCCACCAACTTGTGCGGAATCGATCCATAAGCATTGGCGAGGTCCAGCCAAAGAACCGCCAAATCACCCCTGCTCTCTCTCGCCTCACGGATCAGCTGTGTCACTACACCAGTGTGCTCGATACACCCCGGGACTCCTGGCACACCCCACTTTTGCACAGATGTATCGATGTAGGAGTTCTTCAGCAGAAATTCCATGAGACGGTTGGAAATTACCTTAAAGAAGGCCTTGCACTCCACACTGAGGAGGGATATTGATCTGAACTGCTCAATGTTCTTTGCGTTTTCCTCTTTGGGAATCCATACTCCCTCTGCATGCTTCCACATCTGGGGCACCTTCCCTCTTTTCCAGATAGCTCTGAAGATCTTCCACAGACGCTCCAGCAGGCGGGGGCAATGTTTGAAGACCTTGTATGGGACTCCACTGGGGCCTGGTGCTGATGCAGCTCTTGACGCTTTGATTACCTCTTTGACCTCCTTAAAGGTGGGTGTTCTGGTGTCAAAAAGTGTACTGGGTTCAGATGGGCATATCAGGGCTTCACAGGGGCCAAGGTCTTGGTCTCTCATGCCGTCACTGTAAGTGTTCCTTAAGTGGCGGTTGATGTCTTCCTTCGGACATGAGAGCTGGCCACTGCATTTCTCTCCCAGCAGTTTCTTTGCAAATCCAAATGGGTTTGCGATAAAGGAGCTGCGCTTGCGGGCCCTCTCCTTTCCTCTCTTCCTGTGCCACTCAGCACGGCGGAGGATGAGCAGCCTCTCCCTCACCACAATCCTTAGTTCTGCCAAGGCCTTCTTCTCTTCGTCACTCGCCTTCCTGTACTGGTACCTTAGTGCCCTCAGCTCTTGTCTGAGTTGAGCGATCTTTTTCTCACGCCGGTTTGGAATTGCTACATTAGTTGTCTTGGTGGCACGATGTTCCTTGATGCCAAACCTGTCTGATGCAATGCTGATTATGAATGTGCTCATTGTCTTGAGCCTCTGGTCCACATCACCCTTCGCTGTTACTTCTAGGGCTGAATCAACATCCTTATCAAACTGAAGCCACTCCGACTCCTTGTTGGCAGCGGGCCACAAAATCTGTCGATGTTCTGAGGCTCTGCTTTGGGGCGTCGCCGGTAGTGCATGGAGGCTCTGGGCACTGTGGGGTGACTCCGGGCCCGGATCCTCCTCCGTCTCACCAGATGCCGTACTGGGTACTGGCACTGTGCGTTGCTCCACGGGGTTCCTTAAACAGCGCATCTTGGTCTGGTGAATCTTCAGACCTTTCAGATTTTTGCAGACCTTGCCACATTTGCAGACTGCACTCGTCGTCAACTGTCCGTTTGCAAGGGTCGTTACCATAGAATCCGTCCAGTTGGGGTGCTCATTCTCCCCCCCTCTCGGGCACCCCTGGGGGTATAACTCTTTAGGGTTCTTCGTAGCGTTGTTAGGGTGCTCCCTTGCGGGAGCTGCAGTTCGGGATGCTACCCCTACCTGCCCCAGTTGCCGTCTCTCCGAGCTGTCCTCTGTCTCTCCAGATGTCACCACACTTTCGGGGTTGTCATCCAGTCTTTCCTGAAAGTCAATGGCTCTGCCATGTTGGATTAGGATTGTAATACACCTAGTGGTGCAACCTGGACACATCTTCAGTGACTCTCCCGAGATCACTGGGTGTTTCGGGTCTTAGTCATACACCCTCACTCGGGCGACCCAGCCGGGGGTGATCAGTTCCCCGACTTGTGTCCAGGTAGCGCACTACGCCACGCCTCCCCCCTCCTCAACCAGAGCCACCGTGAAGCCTTTACATTTACAGAGTGACTGACCCTTTTTTTTGTTTGTTACACCATAACCTTAGAGTATTAATGCTGATACAAGCACTTACATTTCTTACTTTTGTTACTTAGCTTATTAACTTTTTAAGTTCACTTTTTAACTTTTCAATTAGTTTTTTTTTCCTGTTTCTCTTTGCTTTTTACCTTTTTTTCTTAATTGTTAACTTTTTTTCAAGTTAATTTACGCAATTTAATTAAATTATATGTTAGGAAATATATCATTCAAGGGCTCATCTAACTGATCAAATGCAAAAATACACGTAGAAGTACCGTATTTTCATGACTATAAGGCGCATATAAACGTCTTTTTTTCCCCTCAAAATGTGCGGTGCGCCCTATGTGTGTTGTTACTGTGGACGTTCGAGACCACCATGAGAACGTTAAAGGGGGAAGTGTGGGCGTGGATTGTGTATAAAAGAACAGGTATGTGCTTTATGCAGAACTCCTCATCTCCTCATTGAGGAGATGATGAAAGCGTGGCTGAGGGAGGTGTATGTAAGGAGACCAGGTGGTTTTTTCCATATTCTGCCGGCAGATTTCTGCATTTTAAGTTAATTTATGCGTCAATAAACAGTTTCAGAGGAGTGATCACAGCGCTCTGTGTCATCAGCGATGTGTCTGTCTCACGGCCAGCTCCCAGGTTTGATTAATACTTTGTAATAAATACATGAATAAAGCACAATCATACTCAGTTTTGCCCCCGCTCTATTTTTAAATATGCAGTAGAGGTATTTAAACGTAGAAGAGGACATGTACCTGTATATAAAACCCGCGCCCAATAGTCCGGTGCGCCTTATGTGTGTGGTAAATACAGAAATGGCACACATAACTGAGACTGCGCCTTTTAGTATGGTGCGCCTTATGGTCGTGAAAATACGGTATCTTGGATATAAATCGTGTGCTTCTAGACCTCACTGAGGGATGGGGGGGCTAAGGGGTATGCAAGTGATCAAAAACGATAACTTGCCTTATGTCTAAAGGGTTAAATGTCCGTCAAAGTTAGCAGGTGAGTCTAACCACTTCCTGAAGCAGTGACATGGTATAGCAGTAGGAATGCTTCGGATGTAATTGACTTCAATGACTGCCCTACATGAAGCAGGTCTAAATACGCAGTTTATGGAAAGCCCCCTCCATTGCTTGACACACTCTTCAAAGCCTTAGCTTATCTCATAACATCACTACTGCCTGCGTGTTACTGACCTGATTCTGCCTCCTGATTCTCTGAGCCTGCATGAACCCTATCGAACCTGTCATGGTGTGTTTTTGGAACTCTGACCAATATTTAATGCCCTGATCTCGCTGTCGGATTCTCCCCTGGGTTGTCTCTGGATCTCGGGTCACCTGGCTCTGACTCTGGACCAGCTCTTGGTTTCCATACTCTGGTTTTTCCCCTTGATCATTCTGCCTCTGTCTCTGCTTTCACAGATCTGACCCTGTGCATTTCCCTGGACCAAGTAACTGTCAAAGAAGGATTCCGCCAAACCTACCTGGACAGATTCAGAAATCTTTCAAGTGACATCACACGCCAATAGACTTCTCCAGAAAATCTCAAAGTTTGTCTTCAAAATCTGAGAAGGTTAGTGAACCAGAATTCAACATTTGAAACATTGCCATCTGTTTCTGCCTGCCACCCAACTGTTCAATCACCTTCCAGAAGTTCCAGTTGCTGACTCTTGTGAATATCTCCTGACCTGCGGCAGTTTCATATTTGAATAAACTGTTCGAACGACAACTGTTGCCCCTGGTTGTAGTCAGGGTCTTCTGTTTCAGGTCATTACATTTTTATAGATGTAATTTACATAAATTGAAAACGATCTAAAGTCCTGGAGTCCTGTGGCCATCTTTAGTGATAGTTAGGTAATCTGATGACAGATCACGGTGTTGCACACACTGTGATCTCAAAGAAAATTGGAAAAATTATTCCTATAGCATTTACTGATAAGCCATTATTTGACAGCTTTTGACAAAGGATATTATTATCAGCATTGTGGAATGCCTAACAGTTGGTTTATGCTTAACATATCCACAAGGCACAGACTATGATATGAGGCCATATTATGTCATTTTACATTCAAAGCCCCTCTGCAACATCCTGACGGCCTGACTTTCCCGACTCTAGAAACATTTGTAGCTATGCAAAGAGTGTTTTGTGGAAAATATGGCAGGTGAGCAACAGTTCCTACTGGTGAAAGTTTGCAAAAATAAAAATCTATAGACATCACATGTTTTGGTCCATAAATAGCAACACAATAAACAGATTTGGAACAATTCTGGTACAGAAATTACTCTTGCACTTTGATTACAGAAAGATTCAATGAATTTGTTTGAAACAACATTTGCTTTTTTCTTGTAGTCTATGTCTACACTTCCTCATCGAGTCTGCCATAATATTACAAACAATGGGGAAAAGCCATAAATTAAAAATGCTGTAAACTGTGTTTAAGCATTTTTTTGTGAATTGTAGAGTTCAGCATATACCAGCCATTTGGCAGGTCAATGAAAAGTGCAGTAGTGATTATTGTTCTAGGCTTTGAAAATGTAATTTACAACATTTGCTGTAACTCTAAGGGCCGGATCTATCAAAGGTTTGCGTGTATTAAAACGTGAGCTATTTCACTGCGCACGCTAAAAAATGTACAAACTGATCTATCAACAGCGTGCTAAAAGGATTTGGTCTTTAAAACGTGCTAAATAGCGCCTCTTATCCATTTAGTACTTTTTCTGCAATGAATATGCAATATGGGGCGTTTACACGCTAAAGTGCGTCTTGTGGGAGGAGAACATGTAAATATATTAATTTAGCACTCGCAAAGTGATTTATCAAACCTGAACGCAATTTTGCTAACGGTATCTGACTCTATATTTAACACGTTTCAAAAGAAGGTGCAAATGGTCTGTATGCGTAATTGCGCACACATGGCAGCGGTTATTGTCGCAAGAAGGAGACAAGGAAATAAAGCAAGGAGACGCAGAGAACGCATTTTTTCACTCCGTGTGAATATTTTTGGAATGAACGAGGAAACGATCATCAAAACATATCGTTTATCCAGCATTGCCATTTTGGAGCTGTTGGGGGAACTCCGAATGGATTTGGAGCCAGCCACAAGGAGGACCCACGCAATACCAGATATCACAAAACTCCTTGCAACATTGCACTTTTTTGCATCTGGGTCATTCCAGCGTACGGTTGCAGCGAGAGCTGGGATCTCCCAATCTCGTTTTTTCAGAAGTGCTGTCCGACGGGGTCGGGGTTCTCCCCCTGCGCCTGTGGAGCAACGTGCCAAATGCTGAGGGGATCTCATCCACAGTCACGGGCCAATACAAAACACCTGTTTTTTTTTTTTTTTGGGTTTTTTTTACTGCAGCACATACCACCTTAGGGAATAAAGGTTGCCAATATATATATATATATATATATATATATATATATATATTTATTTATTTACTTATTTATTTTTTTTGTTGGGGGTCACTGTAAGATTTAAATTTCTTAATGCACTAGTTTGTACAGACTACAAACTACTTTGCCGCAAACCACAAAACGCGCAAAACCATCATTTAAATAGGGCGTCTCCAACAGTTTTGCACCTTCCACCAGTTACGCAATCACTCTTGTTAAATCACCCGCAAACCATGGTTCAGCCCCTCGCGCAAAATTCCAGTTTGCGAGCGCAAATTACTGCACGCAAAATTGGATCTTGATAAATCCGGCCCTAAGTGTACTGTGCTAGTTCCTTACACCAGGTTGATGATGTGAGAAGATAGTTGTACACGGACACTCTTTAAGCAGATAATTTATTATTTATTCCAAAAAAGTTAACAAACAATCCACTGAACTTAGTTTCTAAGTTTGAAGACACTTCAGTTTCCATCCAGGAATGTTTGTTTGATTTCAAAATGTCAGAGTTAGCATTGTGCTTGAGGCTTCATACAACAGAACAAAACAAAACTCTACTGCTGTCAAATAGGATCATAATTGCTAAGCAAAACATACCTTTTTATAGGGGGGCAGGGGAGGAAAGAAGCCTTCCACATGGGATGATATTCTTTTTGGAAAGGGAGTTTAAAAATTTGAGACTGGTTCAGCTTTAATATATGTTGTTTAGAAAATGGTCCCCCAGATTTATGACGATAAAGACCTTTAAGTGCTTTTAAAACTTCACTGACAAACACCTTTGAAAAAGATAAGGCGTTTCTGTTGAGGGGGGGATTCATGGAGGAAGTGACATTTTCAACATTGCAGACTAGAATTTTTCATGAGCTGCAATGTAATGGAGAAATTATTAATCAGTTTGTAAAATCCAATCCATAAAGAATATTTCTTTCAATAGACATCAGAGATAAGTAGTTCAGTCTGTTTTGGCCAACATTAGAAATCCATCTCCTGGGCGTGGTATTGGGTGGAAAAAGTGGACCTGACTACCCAGGGCCCACATAGGAAGAAGAGCCCCTGATAACCCTATTCTTTTTCTATCCTTTTTTTTTTTTTGAATGATTTAGGCACTCCAAATAACTGGTGTCATAATTTGTTAAAAATATATATTGATAACATTAAGCAAGAGAACAAACCTTGTTTCTGTCCAGTAAACCCATTCTGAAACCCCCCACTTGGAAGCACACAAGGGCTTAGTCCGTCCGACAAAAACTTGTGACAAGTGTAACATCAGTGAGCCAAGATTAAATGACCTGGGGGCTAGACAGCATGCTCCCCATAAAGCATAAATCAGTTCAGCAAAAGAAAAAGAAAGAATGCAGAAAGAGGGGAGACAGCTGTTGACTGCTGTCTTTCCCAAAGGTGAACTGAGTTTGCATGTTATGCAAGGTCAAATTAAATTTCACTCCAGACAGCTGCTTCTGTCTGGAGTGAAGAGGCTATTTAGCTTAGCTAGTTGCCAGCCAGGCTGTTTGCTACTGTAAATATAATGACAATTATGGGCAAGCTAACCTTAGTTGTCAAAATT